GGTGTTTCCAGTTAATATAGTTAGAAAATACGTTCCGAGATGGTGGACAGAAGAACTTAGTAATATGAAATCTCGGGTTTGTAAAGCTAGGAAAGCATATCAGAGGGAATATGATATGATTTTGAAAGATGTTAAATTGGAGATATATAGAAAATTAAATAAACAATATAAAAAATTAATTAGTGAGGCGAAAATAAAAAGTTGGAAAAATTATGTTACTACTGAGGTTAACTGTAATGTATGGGGTTTACCATATAAGTTAATGCGTGATAAGGTTAATGTTAAAACTATGGTTTCTGCTCTTAAGAGTGTAAATGGGTTTTTAATGGATTGGGATATATCAGTAAAGTTTTTATTAGATTCGTTGTTTGTATCAGATAATACTTTATTAGATACACCTTATCAGATTAATGTACGAAGAGATAATGACAGTTATATTAATAATAAGACGTTACAATTATTTACGAAACAAGAATTTTTTAAGGTTTTGAGGGATTCTAGAGGGCGAAAAGCTCCAGGTATTGATGGATTAACGTATAAAATTATTAAACATGCTATACCAATAATAGGAAAACATTTGTTGCAATTATTTAATTTATGTTTGATATATAGGATTTTTCCAAATAGGTGGAAAGTATCGCGTGTTATAATATTTTTAAAGGATAAAAATAGGGATAAATCTTTACCAAAGTCATATAGGCCAATATGTTTATTGTCAATTATCGGAAAGATATTTGAGCGATTATTAAAGTTACGGATGAATGTCCTTTTTGGACTGAAGGTTGATAATTGGCAATTTGGTTTTAAACGTGGAGTGTCAACCACAGATGCTATATATTTATTGAAAGAATGGGTTAAGAATTCCGGGAAAAAGTATGTTTTGGGGATATTTTTTGATGTAATTGGGGCTTTCGATCATATATGGTGGCCTAGTGTGCTTCTTGCGTTGCGGCAGTGGGAATGTCCGATAGATTTATATAAAATTATAGATGATTATTTGAGTAATAGAAAAGTTTTTTATATAGAAGAATCTCATAGTGTAAAAAAGTGGGTTGAACGTGGCTGTCCACAAGGGTCTGTATTAGGACCAGAATTATGAAATTATGTTTTCAATATTATACTTGTTGTAATTAGAAATATGGGATTTAAATACATAGCTTACGCAGATGATCTGGCGGTAATAGTTGAGGGAAATAGTCGTAGGGAATTGGAAATAGAGAGTCAAAAGGTTGTGGACGCCCTGGTCAATCATTTAAAACAAATAAAGTTATATATGTCACCAGAGAAAACTAAGATGGTAATATTGAGAGGTAGGCTAAGCTCGGATCATCCCCCCAGTATTAAAATGGAGTGTAATCCATTAAAGTGTGTTAGCACAGTTCGATATCTAGGAGTGCAACTAGGTTCGAACTTTAATATGATGCCGCATGTAGAGTACATAGCGAATAGGGCATTAAATCAATTTTGTAGTTTACAGCACTTGGTGGGCCTGGGGTGGGGGTTGAGGCTTCCTGCACTCAGGACCCTATATAAGTCGCTGTATATACCAATTGTTGTTTATGCTGCTGGTGTGTGGGGCGACGGGCTTCAGCTCCCTCAACGTGAGAAGCTTTTATCTTCTCAACGTAAAGTGTTGATAATGGTGATTAGGGCATACCGTACTATCTCTTTACCAGCTGCTCAATTAATTTCGGGAGAAATGCCTATTGATTTGGTTGTTAAATTCGAGTATTATAAATATTTAGTTAGGACGAGGAGATCATTTACTTATAGTAATATTATTTATCAGCCAGATGCATCCGGGTGTGTTGACTCATTTATAGTTCAACAAGTTAGAAATAAATTATTAGAAGAATGGGAAATTAGATGGCAAGGGGAAACGAGAGGTCGGGTGACTTATCTGTTCTTTCCCACTGTTAGTGATAAGTTGGCAGCACACTGGGTTAAACCAGATTATTTTGTTACTCAGATTTTATCAGGCCACGGGGATTATCGAGAGAAGTTGTTTAATTTTAAGCTGGTTGATTCTCCACTTTGTGAGTGTAGTCAGCGGGATACTTTACATCATTTTATATTTGATTGCCCATTATATGACGGTTATAGGAATGATGAGGTTTTTAATTCTACTTATTTACAAAATTCTTATATATGTTTTGTTAATGATCCAAAAGTATATAGTAAGATTTTTACAACTTTAATAGAAATGCTTAAGATGAGAAGTAATAATCGTAATTGTAGAAGTAATAATTGTAGTAATGTATTTTAACTGCTTGTCCTTATATATATCATATATATTTTAATTTAACAGTTGTATTATTTTATTATATATTATTATACATTTATAGATGATTTTATGAGAATAGGTATATATTACATATTAATTGTCCAGAACACTATTATTTTGAGCTTTAAAATATTATTAGTAATTAAGGTTATTAGAAATCTCGCAGCCGGTAAGTCATAATGACAGGAATGGCTTTTTTCGGACAATGGGGGACATCTGTCCCTATCTACTGGGGCTGAGACCCTACAGCGTTGTGTGACCTTTCGAAACTTCTGATTATTTCAATTGCTAACTTTGTTCGGAGTGTTAAGCACTGCTTTTCTTTTTGGTCACTAAGCTAACTAGTCTCATAGTACCTGCTGGCCTACTCGTGGCGGCCCTGTTGCCCCGTCTCTGGGGTGCGAACAGCAGGCAAAAGGCAGTTTTCACTGCCAGAGTTTCTAATTAACTACTGTAGTTTTCTAACATTGCTAATCTAGTTTTGTCTTTAAATAGGATGTGCGGTGAAGAGGATGCTGGACCAAGTCAGGTTCAGCCAGATGAAGGAAGAGGTCAACTTCTACAGATCAAAGATGATCTGGAGAATTACATACGAGAAAACCCCAATTCGAAAATTGGAAGCCAAATTCACTCCAGAAATATTATGGAGTTTTTTGAGAAAATGATAGAAGTATATGACAGTACCTTCAAGCCAGAGGTGAAAGTCATAAACGAATTAAATAGTAAAATAGATCAGTTGTTAGAGAGAAGCGCCGCAAAGATGCCGACGCCATCTTATGCTGATAAAGTAAAGTTCAGTCCTGCTAGATTATCCAGTGGGGGTACGGTGGTGGTGGTGGTGGAGAGTGAGAACGACGGAGTAGACACAGAAGGAATAAAAAGAAAATTGAAGGATCAATTAAACCCCAAAACTTTGGGTATGGGAGTAAGGAAAGTGAAAAAGATGAGAGGCAAAAGCATATTGATAGAGATTGAAGGTCATAAAAAGGGTGAGGATTTGATAAGGGAAATTAATAATATACCTGAGTTAAGGGCTAGAGAACCAAAGAAAATCTTGCCAAAAATAACAATCTTCAACACCCCATCGAACCTTGACAAAGAGGGGATAGTGGAAAGTCTGTTTTACCAAAATGAGACAATTAATAACATTTACGTAGAACTGGAGAGTTTTAAAAAAGAAATTACAATAAAAACGAGATGTGAATCATTGGATTTGTGAAGTGAGCCCGCAATTAAGGAAGATTATTCTAAAGCTTAAAAAGGTGAACCTAGAATGGGTAAGGTGCGGTATAGAGGAACATCACAGCATTATACAATGCTTCAAGTGTTGTCGTTACGGACATTTCGTGCGAGAATGTCATAGTGAAAGGAACTTCTGCAACTACTGCGGAGGTGATCATCATTACAGTGAATGCAAAAATCAGGCCACTGCCCCTAGTTGCATCAATTGCATTAGGAGTAAAATCGCCACCTTTGCGCACCCGGCGAACCATCAATCTTGCACAGAACGGCAAAAGATAATTAGAGCGATATCCATGAGAATTGACTATGGATAAGGCACAACTAAGAAGGAGAGGAAGAAAAGTTCATGGTTCAATAGATGAAATAGGCATTAGACTAGGACATGCTATTATGGGAGGAGGTATTGCTGCGGTTTCGCGGTTGGTGGCGTGGGCTGTTGATATTGCTGATATTCTATTAATAGGGGACCTAAATTATATCTACTGGTGAATGTGACATTTGTGGTGGTGGTGTTACGGAGGATGCGGGACATTTGTTCTTTCACTGTGTCCAGTGGGAGGAGTGTCGGTTAGATTAAAGTGCGAGTGTACCGTTTTAGGAATTGATTGGCCTGTTTCTTGTCATATATTAGTTGGTAAAGATAGTTTATTTAAATTACTTGTAAGATTAGCAATCTGTATTTATATAATTAAGAATGTCAATGGTCGCAGGAATTCTACACGCGACTAGTTATGTAAGAACATACTATTCAACGCGGTAAATTATTAACTAACTGTTAGTATTAGATTAGGGATGTTTACTAAGTAGTGTTTCAACACGCGTATAGTGATGTATAATTATATCCAATATCGTGGATGTATAAGTGGCACAGCTTGAAGTAATAAGTTGTAATTATTATGTAAATATTTTAGTCAATAAATAATCTCCGCAAAGCCTAGCGGGGCGGAGAGGTATTAAAAAGGAACAATCAGAACCGGATTGAACAAGATGTTCTTCCGGGAATGAGGTGAACAAAAAAAAAAAAAAAAAAAAAAAAAAAAATGTCCCTATCTACTCCAACCCAAAGGGTGGGGTCTTATCCCCCACAAGTCGTACGCACTTGCCTGGTTGTGGCGGGGTGGCTGAGTAGCCCAGGATGTCCCTGGGTGAAACTAAATAGTGCGGCGGCGACTCCGGGTTCCGGACGTCACCGAACCCGCTTCGGAAGTTACTTGGTACGTAAAAAGTTAGGTGGGAGGCTCTCCCCCAGAGGGTACAGTTTATAAACCAGGTTGGCACTCCTGGGCCGCCCGGTAGTACAGGGGCCCAGCCCCTTCTAGCCATATGGGGCTGGCTGCCCTATCAACGGGCGAATAATCTCGTCGTGTGTCGTAGTGCCAGTTGGCGACTGGAGAGGGCCCTGCGGCACACGGCGGGGGGCTCTACCGAGGCCACTGGGGGTTGAGCTGAACACCAAGCTAACTTGGACCTGACATGTAATGGAAGAGCGATGTAAGTGTACCAAAAGGCCTGGAGACTCTTTCTAATACTCAATGAAATGGCTACAAATGAAAACACAGTTTCAAAAGTGTCTGTAAGTGAGACCCTCACATCCGACTCAGATGAGGAGTCGTTAATGGATATGTACGATCAATCCACAACTCGGAAACGAGCATGCTGTGGGGATACCTCATCACTCACCCCACTAGCGAGGAAACGCCGCCAGAAAAGTGAAGAAGTAGCAGGCGTAAGAGGAAGAGTAATGTCTGCTCTGAGAAACATCATCTCGGAGCTTCAAGCAACTTGTCTCGACAGAGATAACAAGATAACCAAGTTCGCTGCCGAAAAAATATTAGATCACGCAGGAGATCTGCAGGATCTGGTGGTTGAACTCTTAGCTGACCATGAAAAGCTGCAGGGACAGCTAGACCAGCAGCTAAAACTACAGCATAACGTACCAAGTAAAGTGACATATGCAGAAGTGATGAACAAAGGGGCTCCAGCACCAAAGGTTGGAAACAGAGCAAGCCCAAATAAGCCTAAACATATAATCTTTGTGAAACCAAATGACTCCTCAAAACTTAAGAACAGTGAAGAGGTAAAGGAGTCATTCATGCGAATAATAAACCCAAGAAGTGAGCAAATAAGATTTCGTCAGGTCCGAAAGCTAAAAAGCAGAGGAATCATGATAGAAGTCGAACGTGAAGGTGACTTTGCGAAAATAATGAATAACAGCAAACTGCACGAACATGGACTCAAAACCCAGCCACTCGAAAAGCGCAAACCCAGGATGATCATATATGACATTCCTAAAAATGTCAACGAAGAAGAGCTGTTGGCAGTTATTAAGTCTATGAATGAAGAGGTCTTCGCAGGAACCACAAACGAGGAATTCAGTTTACTCTTCAAAACAGGCAAGCGTAGGGAAGAAGTAGTGAATTGGGTAGCAGAAGTCTCACCAGCTGTGAGGGGAAAACTACTATCCCAGCAGCGGCTATATATAGACTATAATAGCTGCAAAGTAAAAGACTTTATGGCCATCAGTAGATGTTTCCGGTGCCAAAGCTATGGACACATAGCTAAGTTTTGTAAAGATGAAGAAGATACTTGCTCCCATTGCGCAGAAACTGGACATAAATTTACCAACTGCCCCAAGAAAAAAGAGGCAGCGCAGTGCGCAGCATGTAAAAAGACCGGAAAGTCCCACGGTCACGGGAGAACAAGTAAGCAGTGCACCGCCTACAAGATGGCGCTGGAGAGGTACCTTAACACAGTCTAATATAAATACAGGCAGAGGAGAAATTGTTCCTAGCGAGATCCGAAGAGCAGTTATGGATCATCCTACGGATATTATAACAGTGATGGAACCATACTCCCTACAAGGGAAAATAGTTGGCTACAGTCTGAAAAGTAGAATCATCCAAGGAAATAACATCAATGAATCCCCATGGTCGGGAATAATAGTCCTGAACACTAAACTCACCATACTCAAAACCACGCAGCTAAATACATCACATTGTGTCTGTATACAAGTTAATTCAGGAAACTTCAACTTCTATGTAATCAGTGCCTACTTCCAGTTTGGCGCCCCAATCGAGGAGGGGTTGAACACTCTCGATTGAATCCTCCGGAATCTTCCAAATAACAGGGTCATAGTGTGCCTGGATGGTAATGCAAAATCGCCGGCTTGGGGGAGCGATCGTACAGACAGAAATGGAGAACGACTCCTGGCGTTACTTGCGGCCCATGGACTCTCGGTTATCAACGAGCCTGGCCATGCTCCCACTTACTCCTCAAGTAGAGGAGAGTCCAACATTGATATCTCCATCGCCAGTGATGCTATCCTTCCGCAAGTGTCGGATTGGGATGTGCACGAGAATTGGACATCGAGTGACCACAACGCCATTAGCTTCGTCGTCTCCTCAACGCCACAGCGACCAGCATTCTTAGACCTAGGAAGTTACTTAACGGGGCAAGCCAACTGGATCAAATTCAGAAGGATCCTAGCAAGTGAAATCAATAAACGAAAAGTGATTAACATAAGAAACGGGAAAAAGGCTGTATGTCAGTGTTACGCAGTTCAGAGAGCAATAATCAAAGCAGCAAACGCTGCAATCCCCAGAACAAAACAAAATAAGCAAACCCTCAGATGGTGGAACGAAGCCTTGGAAAGGCTGAAGTCGCAATATTACAGAGCTACAAGACTCTATCAACGGGAAAGAGGTCCGGAAAGATGCGCTCGTCTCAAAATACAGTACTATAATAAGAAAAAGGAATTTCAAAGGGCAGTGAAGCAAGCTAAGATGAAAAGCTGGAGTGAATATGTCACTGAGTCCGGCCACAAGAACCCTTGGGGCCTTGCCTATAAACTTCAAATAGGTAAGATTTAGCGTATTCAAACCATTGGCTCAATACGAACTGATACATCAAATGGTCTGGACTGGAGGTCAGCCACTTCCAACCTTATGGATACCCTATTTAAGCCAGATGACGAGAGCCTTGATACTGCTACACAAAGCGAAACAAGAAGGAAAGTTGAACACTACAGAGGCAGCACAGTAAGCGGGCCCTTTCAAGATCACGAACTAAGATGCATATTCAACAAAATGAAAAGGGGCAAGGCCCCAGGCCGAGACGGCATAACAAAGATAATAATCGAACAGGTGTATGAAATTATTGGAACTGACCTCCTAGAGGGATATAATGCCTGCTTGCGTTATGGGATATTCCCAAAGGAATGGAAAGAAGGTCGGCTAGTTGCAATCCTCAAAGGTGGTAATAGAGATAAAGGAGACCCAAAGTCTTACAGGCCCATCTGTCTCCTCCCGATCCTAGGAAAGATGTTAGAAGGTCTAATCAGACTAAGGCTGAAACTAGAAATGACAGACCACACAGACAAGTGCCAATACAGCTTCCGGACGGGACGATGAACCACAGACGCCATTATCAGGCTCAGGCACATAGTTGAGAACTCGAGTGCAAAATATGTATTGGGCATCTTCTACGACATCGTGGGAGCATTTGACCACCTGTGGTGGCCGGATATTCTAAGTGAGCTATCGGCAAGGGAATGCCCAAGAAATCTCTTCTGGCTAATAAAAGACTATTTGAACGATCGTCGAGTCACATTCATGGATGGTGAGCTGGTGAACTCAAAACAAGTATTCAGAGGTTGCCCGCAGGGCTCCCTCCTCGGCCCGGATTTTTGGAACATTGTCTTCGACACAAACCTACAAATGCTGAACAATTACGGCTATCATACTATTGCATATGCCGACGATGAAGTTATAATAGTCGAAGGGAACACAGCAGAAGAAACCTAGAGGTAGAAGGTCAAAGGATTATGGCAATGCAAGAGGAGTGGGCCACGTCCACAAACTTCAGTTTTCCGCTGAAAAGACGGTAATGCTCTTACTTAAAGGCAGCATGAGCACCAACCACCCACCAACTATAAAGTTATATGGCAAAACAATCAAGCTTCAACAAACAGTTAAGTACCTAGGCCTCACAATCGGCAGGAATTTTAATATTGCCAACCACGTTAAAGAAGTCGCCGGCAAGGCAACAAGCCATTTCAACCGCCTGGCAAGAATAGCGAAGGCGGAGTGGGGCCTAAGCCATAGAGCTATGCAGACAATCTATAAAGGGCTGTTCGTGCCCATTATCACATACGCTGCAGCGGCCTGGGCTGACAAGTTAGACAGCCACGGTCGCCGAAAACTCCAAAGCGCACAAAGGACGGCACTCTTAAGAGTACTACGTGGATACAATACTTGTTCGGCAGTGGCATTACAAGTAACAGCAAATATGATGCCAATAGAGCAAGAGATATGGAGAGCATATGCAAACCACCACATCAGTAAAGGTAACAAATTCAAACTCTATGAGCGAGAATTCCAAGAAATGAATACAGCAACAGAGAAGAAAGAAGGAAGGAAAGCAGTAGATACACTCCTCCTCAGGAAATGGCAAGAGGACTGGAACACATCTGACAAAGGACGTCATACCTACAGCCTCATGAATAACATCGAAACAAGAAGAACAATGAAATGGATCAGAGGAAACTTCTATTCGACGCAGTTCCTAACCGGCCATGGGGATTTCCGTAAGAAACTCTACAGGTTCTCGCTGGTGGACACAGAAGAATGCGAATGCGGAGCTACAGACACGGCAGTGCACGCTCTGCTCTACTGCCCGATCTTCGACGCAGAAAGAAGAGAATCAGATATACTAACAGAACTGTCGCTAACTCAAGGACACACGGATTCAAAACTTAGAAGAATCTTGACAAGGACCAACTACAAGAAGGTCAGCTAAGTAATGACACAAATATTGAAGAAAAGAAGAAGAATTAGAAGTATACAACATAGATCTAACACCCAGAATAAGTAATAAAAGGACATGTACAAAAATAAAAATATGTAGGTAGGGAAAAGCAGAAAAAAAAGAGGACAGACCGCTGGTATACCTTGGGGAGGGTGTCCTCCTACATGTCCCTATCTACTATAGAATGGGCTTATCTTTTACGGTGGGTTCCTTCCGTTGTGGAGAAAACCTCACGCCTTGTGCACAGTGAACGATCATGTTTAATATTAAACAAGAATTAGTAAAGATTTGGGATAATAGGTGGAAAAATGATAGAGGAAGGGTTACGTTTGATTATTTTCCTTGTATATCGAGGAGGCTGGAGATGTCCTGGGTGCAGCCGGATTATTTTGTATCACAATTGTTGACTGGGCATGGAAACTTCCGGGAGAAGTTACATACTTTTGGTTTGGTTGCCGATAAGTTGTGCGAGTGTGGTAATATAGACTCCTTGGTTCATTTTATGTTTGATTGCCCTATGTATGAAGAGATTCGGATGCAGAGTGACTTATTGTGTAACAGTAATAAAAATTTTTCTGAATTGGTTTTAACAAAATTAAGGTATAATGAAGTATTTGGTGTTTTAAAAACAATGTTACAGTTTCGGATGAGTTTGCGGTTACATTGATATGTTTATGTTTTATGTGCCACTTTTTTGGTATTTTAAGAATAATTTTTTGGGATTTTATTTTAGTTAATTGGTGTAAGGGGTTTTCCTCTAATATTTTATAGGTTATTTTTTAATGTGGGTTTATTAGATTAGTTCTAGTTCTTTTGAACAGTTTTACTTAAATTTTAAACTTAGTTTATCTTATATAGGATTGTTAATTAGTGTAGTAATGATTAATAATTAGATTTGTCCAGTATTATTCATTTGTTATAGGTTTAATATAATTAAAATAATTAGGATATAAATGTTAAGAATAGGATTCTTTCCACTGATAGGCCTTTTAAGCAGGAGCAGTGGAGAAAAGGTTGGGACTTCACAAGGGGCGCTTGTCCCTATCTACTCTCCTCTAAATGGGGGTCCATTGCTTGTGCCCAAACCAGGCAATGGCCCCAACTCGTATGCACCAGCCTTGTCGTGGCAGAGGAGCTCAGTACCCNTTGTTAATTAGTGTAGTAATGATTAATAATTAGATTTGTCCAGTATTATTCATTTGTTATAGGTTTAATATAATTAAAATAATTAGGATATAAATGTTAAGAATAGGATTCTTTCCACTGATAGGCCTTTTAAGCAGGAGCAGTGGAGAAAAGGTTGGGACTTCACAAGGGGCGCTTGTCCCTATCTACTCTCCTCTAAATGGGGGTCCATTGCTTGTGCCCAAACCAGGCAATGGCCCCAACTCGTATGCACCAGCCTTGTCGTGGCAGAGGAGCTCAGTACCCAGGGAGCATGCCGTAATGGTATGTTTCCTGGGGAAGCTAATGGTGTGGCGGGGGAGTCCAGGTGTTGGCCTGGCCTTAGTGCTGCGGCGTGTGTCTCATTGCGACCTTGAGGCGAGAGGGTTGAAGGGAGCCCCCGAGAATACAGTATATAAACTGGGGATGCACACCTGGCGCGGTGTATAGTTAGGTGCCCGGGGGGGTCTAGCCGGATCTTACTGGCTGCCCCGTTCAGATGCCGAATAATCTTGCCCCCTGTCAGAGTGCGGGGTGGCGCCCCGATCAGGACCCTCTAACAGGAGGTGGGGGCCTATACCGAGGCCACGGGGTCTGCCTTTGGCCCTCTCTAAGGTTTCTGGGAGTGGTGGGGCTCATTTCGTAGCAGTGGGGTCAGGTGCTTACCTGGGCTTTGGGGGGTCTTGGGGTTACCCTTACTTTAATATGAATAGTAGTCGAAAAAATATAAGTTTACACGTGCAGGGGGGTGGGGGGACTTTCCTGGGTCCCAATATAATTCGCCAATAG